GGTCTGCAGTCCCTCTCAGGCACAGGAGAAAATTCCTAAGAAACTGAGAGTGATCATAGCTCCTGATCATGTAATGTCATCATAAGAAAAATATTCAAAGAAACTTTAGGGACTTCCCTGGTGGTCCAGTGGCTAAGAATCCTTCTACCAATGCAGGGAACCCGTATTCAATCTCTCATCCAGGAAGTTCCCACATGCCACAGGGCAATTAAGTCCTAGTCCCACAGCGACTAAGCCAGCTCTCAAGAGCCTGTGCTCTGCAACAGGGAGAAGTCACCACAATGAGAAGCCATCCTACTGCAACTAGAAAGGAGTCCCTGATCACCGCAACCACAGAAAGTCCATGCTCAGCAACAAAGACCTAGGGCAGCCAGAGTAAATAAATACTCCATACCTATCAGAATGACTAAAATTAAAAACAGTGGCAACACCAAGTGGTGTGAATGGAGAAAAACTGACTCCCCCATATGTTCCAAGTGGAAATGCAAAGTTGTACAGCCACTCTACAAAACAGTTTGGCAGTGTTATTTTTTTTTTTCGGTGGAGGTGTTGGGGAAGGTAAGAGCCTAAAAAAAAAAAAGAAGAAAAATCTACACACACAGCAACCATATGACCTAGCAATTGCACTCTTGATCATATACTCAAAAAAACGCAATGATAACAGCCAAACCTGGAATTGGCCCAGAGGTCCTTCCACATGTGAATGGTTAAACACAGCCTAGGGTCCACTCAACCCCATATACAAGGTGTCAACTACTGAGCCTTGTTCCACTAAATCCCCACAGAATTAGGCTAAGACTTAGGAAGTAGGGAAAAAAGGCCATTCCCAAAGATTGGGTGATTCCATTCCTATAACTTATTTGAAATGACATGGTTTTATTTATTTTTTGGTTGCACCAGGTAGCATGCAGGATCTTACTGAGTTCAAAGGCCAGGTATGGAACATCCACCACCGGCAGTGGAAGTGTGAAGTCTTGACCAGACCAAGAGGGAGTCCCTAAAATGACAACATTTTAGGAACACAGGAAGCTGTTAGGGACAGAGGGCAGGGTGGTTATAAAGGGGCCTGGGGGTTGGAGCTGTTCAGTGTCCTGATTGTGGTGTGTTTACATGAACCCACACATGTGACAGATGGTACAGAATCCACACACACGCAAGTGAGTGCAGGTAAAACGGCAGACTTTGAGCAGAAATGTGAAAATCTGTGAGTCGGAGAAGACTGGAGAAAGCATGCAAGGGATGTCTATTACTTCTTAAAACCATGTGTGAATCTACAGTCATTTCATGACAAAAATTCACATTTAACAAAGGGACTGGGAATACACTGGACTGAAGACGAATCTTGGAGTAACAAAAACTTAACCTATGGACTGATCAAAAGAATCAGGCAATTAATTAAGGGCCTGCCTAGGAGTTAGTCCCTCCTGACACTTAGCCAAGAATTTTCTGAGCACAGGACTATGAGGGGGACAGAGGCAACTGTGGGGTAGGGGACAGAGGCAGGAAGGCTGCCCCCCACCCCCAGCAGGAAGGTCCCCTAAAGCAGGGGTCTCCAACCTTTTCGGCACCAGGGACCAGTTTCCTGGAAGATAAACTTTCCACAAACTAGAAAGAAGGGGGATGGTTTTGGGGTGATTCAAGTGCATTACATTTTATTGTGCTCTTTATTTCTAATCAAATTCCACCACTGACCTAATGGGAGGTACCAGTCCTCAGTCTGGAAGGGTTGGGGACTCCTGCTCTAAAAGGGAAGTAGAGGATACCCTGGGTCAGCGTGCTGAGTGAATGGAACAGCAGGTCAAGGGAGGAGGAGCCCAGAGGCTCTGCCTGAGGGGATGGCACGCTGGGGAGGGGGCTACCAAGGTCCACTGGGGTGGGTGGGGCTTGCAGGAAGGAATTTTTTCTTTAGAAAAGAAATGTTTTTTTGACATGTACACATTGCTGTATTTATTTGCCTGCATGCTAAGTCGCTTTAGTGGTGTCCAACTCTTTGCGACCCTATGGACCATAGCCACCCCACCCCACCCCCCACCCCCCAGGCTCCTCTTCCCCTGGGATGTCCAGGCAAGAATACAGGAGGGGGTTGCCATTTCCTCCTCCAGGGGATCTTCCCGCTCCAAGGATTGAACTCATGTCTCTTAGGTCTCTTGCATTGGCAGGCAGTTTCTTTACCACTAGCACCACCTGGGAATTATTTATTACAGGCTGTGCTGGGTCTTCCTCGCTGCACACAGGCTTTCTCTAGTTGCAGGGAGTGGGGCCTACTCTCTGGTTGAGGTGCACAGGCTTCTCGTTGCAGTGACTTCTCTTCTTGCAGATCAGAGGCTCTAGTGGAGCAAACTCCGTAGATGTGACTTGCTGGCTTTAGGGCGGGAAAGCTTCAGTAATTGCATCACTGGGGTGCATTATTTGGGGCTTCGAGGCTCTAGAGGGGCAAGCTTCAGTAACTGTGGAGCACAGCCTAAGTAGTTGTGGCTCATAGGCACTAGAGTACAGGCTGAGTAGCTGTCTCATCCAGGTTTAGTTGCTCCAGGGCATGTGGAATCTTCCCGGACCATGGATCAAACCCATGTCCCTGGCATTGGCAGGCGGGTAGATATTATCCACTGTGCCACCAGGCAAGTCTGAGAAAAGATTTCTGATTAAAAAAAAAAAAATGTAAATTTTACCATCTTGGGACTTAGCCTGCGGTCCAGGGGTTAAGATTCCCCACTTCCACCACTTGGGGCAGGTTCCATCCTTTCTGGAGGAACTAAGATCCTGAATGTCTGGCTATGCAGGAAAAAAATGAAAACTTAAAAAGGGAGAAAAAAGTTACCTTCTTCACCACTCTTATGACCCAGTTCAGTAGTGCTGTCTTTTCATATGGTTGGCCACAGAGCTCCAGAACTTTTTCATTTTGAAAACTGAAAGTCTGTATCTGTTAAACAAGTCCCCAGTCCCCGCTTCCCAGTTCCGGGAGGCCACCATCCAACTTTCTATTTCTATGCATTTGACTACTAGAGCTACCGAGTGAAGTAGAATCACATAGCATTTGTCTTTTTTGTGAGTGGTTTTTTCACTGAGCATTATGTCTACAAGGTTCACTCATGGTGTAGAAAGTGTCAGACTTTCCTTCCTTTCTAAGGTTGCATAATATTCCATTGTATAGCTGTATCACACTTTGTTTATCCATTTGTCTGCTGTGGATGGTTGAGGATGCCTGCACCTCTTGGCTACTGTGAATAATGCTGCTACAAACATGGGAGTGCAAATACTTCTTCCAGATCCTGCTGTCAATTCTTGAGGATACACAGACAGAATTGGGATTGCTAGATGGGAGGAATGCTTTTGAACCTAACCTGGGGTTACTGAAACCTCTTAGCTCCTTATGATGAGCTACACTTGTGAGTGTGTAAGTGACCTGTGGAAAGAATAGACTCGCCTTTGCCTTCCATCTATCTGTCCAAAGAAGAGGAGGTCAACGCCACGTACTGAGCACTGGGCCACCCCTGCCGGCCCTTTACAGGCACCTTACACACAAACAGGGAGAAATGTCAGCAACCTCAGACATGCAGATTATACTACACTTAAGGCAGAAAGCAAAGAGCAATTAAAAAGCCTCTTGATGAAAGTGAAAGAGGAGAGTGAAAAAGTGAAAAACTCAACATTCAAAAAACAAAATCATGGCATCTGGTCCCATTACTTCACAACAAATAGATGGGGAAACAGTGGAAACAGTGACAGACTTTATTTTTTTGGGCTCCAAGATAACTTCAGATGGTGACTGCAGTCATGAAATTAAAAGACACTTGCTCCTTGGAAGAAAAGCTATGACTGACCTAGACAGCATATTAAAAGGCAGAGGTATTACTTTACTAACAAAGGTCCATCCAGTCAAAGCTATGGTTTTTCCAATAGTCATGTATGGATGTGAGAGTTGGACCATAAAGAAAGCTGAGTACCAAAGAATTGGTCCTTTTGAGCTGTGGTATTGGAGAAGACTCTTGAGAGCCCCTTGGACTGCAAGATCAAACCAATCAATCCTAAAGGATATCAGTCCTGTATATTCATTGGAAGGACTGATGCTGAAGCCGAAGCTCCAATACTTTGCCACCTGATGCGAAGAACTGACTCATTGAAAAAGACCCTGATGCTGGGAAAGATTGAAGGCAGGAGGAGAAGGGGATGACAGAGGATGAGATGGCTGGATGGCATCACTGACTAGATGGACATGAGTTTGGGCAAGCTCTGGGAGTCAGTGATGGCCAGCATGCTGCAGTCCATGGGGTGCCAAAAGTCGGACATGACTGAGCAACTGAACTGATTGACTGCACACAAACATCAGTGCTCACCCAGCCCGGCCTCCGGTAATTAAAACAAAGACAAGGCCCCGGCCCTGCTGTCACCTCCAGCCGCGTCATTCTCCATGGCAGAGGGGCCCCATCTAGCCCAGTGCCCACCCTACCAGCCCAGGTCAAGCCTGCCGAGAAGTAGAGTGTCTCTCTGCCTCAGGAAACCAAACCTAGGGCTCCAGGCCCAGGCTCTGTGCTTCCAAGTTCACCTCCCTCAGCACCCAGCACCAATGCTGAGTCTCAGAAATTACACGTGAGAAGGAAGGAGAGATGGCTCTCCCACAGGACTTGGTGAGCAGAGGGCTGGGAGGAGCCTCAGTCAGGACCTTGAAAATGTTCCTCAGGCCTAAGACTTCTGCACCCTAATCCCCACCCCACCCTGAGGAGACAGCTGGGGACCATCCTGTGAGGGAGGGACCTGTATCCTCAGGACTCCTGCTGGCTCAGCCACACCCACCAGGTCCCTCTGGCAACAGGGCTCAAAGTCATAGGGCAGGTGAGGGGCAGGGTGTGGCCACCCGGGGCACTGGGAGGGACACTGGGAGACTTTTATAGCAGGGAATTAAGCCCAGGCAGCCAGCGCTGCAGCTTGTAACCTGGTGTCCCAGCCTTGCCCGAGACCCGGCCTCCCCAGGTCCCATCCTGACCCTCCGCCATCACACAGCCATGCAGGGGGCCTGCCTGCTGCTGCTGCCGGGCCTGTGGCTACAGCTCTCCCTTGGCCTCGTCCCAGGTAATCAGGCAGCTCCTGGCGCCCCCCACTCACAGGGGGCGGCCCCAGGCTCACCTGACCTCCACTCTCCCCTTGGGCAGTTGAGGAGGAAGACCCCGCCTTCTGGAACCGCCAGGCAGCCCAGGCCCTTGATGTGGCTAAGAAGCTGCAGCCCATCCAGACAGCTGCCAAGAATGTCATCCTCTTCTTGGGGGATGGTGAGTGCGCTAAGCTGGTCCACCCCCTGTCCCCCCACAGTCCTGGAACCCTGGGCTGCCGGCTGACCCAGGCTGGCCCCAGGGACTCAGACCTGACACAGTGTGTACCTTCAGGGATGGGGGTTTCCACGGTGACAGCCGCTCGGATCCTAAAGGGGCAGATGGATGGCAAGCCGGGACCTGAGACACCCCTGGCCATGGATCAGTTCCCATACGTGGCTCTGTCCAAGGTAAGGGCCAAGTGACCTCAGGGTGGTCTACACTGGAGGGGTGGGTGTGGCCTAGGGAGCGGTGTAGGAAGGAAAGTCCCAGGAGAGTTGGGGGCTGAGATAGGGGCCGGGGGGCTGTGAGGATGGGCCCAGGGCATGGGTCAGGAGCTGGGTGTCTACCCCAGCAGAGCTGACGGCATCTCTGCCCCCAGACATACAACGTGGACAGAGATGTACCAGACAGCGCAGGCACGAGCACCGCCTACTTGTGTGGGGTCAAGACCAACATGAGGACCATTGGTGTAAGTGCAGCCGCCCGCTTCGACCAGTGCAGCACGACACGTGGGAATGAGGTGACGTCTGTGTTGAACCGGGCCAAGAAAGCAGGTGGGCTTGGGGGTCAGTTTCTTGGGCAGACACAGGCTCAGAGATCTTGGTGGCCCACTGTGACCTCTGCCACCCTCAGGGAAGTCAGTGGGAGTGGTGACCACCACCAGGGTGCAGGATGCATCACCAGCCGGGGCCTACGCGCACACCGTGAATCGAGACTGGTTCTCCGATGCTGACCTGCCTGCCGATGCACAGACGTATGGCTGCCAGGACATCGCCACTCAGCTCATCTACAACATGGACATTGATGTGCGACATGATGGGCACGGGGCGGGGCTGGGCAAAGGGGGTGGGACACACTCTCAACACAGTTCCAGGCAGCTCAGAGTCCTGGGGTTTCGCAGGGTCTCTGTATTGCTGGAGTTGGGGGTCACCTGTAGGAGTTAACTGGTAGGCAGGAGTTGACTGGGGAGGCAGGGACTGTGTGAGGGGGCGGGTAAGTAAAGGGCCAGCCAGGCCCTGAACCCACCTGCCCTAATCTCTGACCCCAGGTGATCCTGGGTGGAGGCCGAAAGTACATGTTTCCTGAGGGGACCCCAGACCCTGAATACCCAGATGATGCCAGTGAGAATGGAGTCCGGAAGGACAAGCGGAATCTGGTGCAGGAGTGGCAGGCCAAGCACCAGGTGATGTGGGTTTATGGGTGCAGGGGCTACAGCGGGGCCGGGACTGGGGTGTCGGGCTATGGGCTGAGGCCTGGTTCTGCCCCTCCCAGGGAGCCCAGTATGTGTGGAACCGCACGGCGCTCCTTCAGGCATCCACCAACTTCAGTGTAACACACCTCATGGGTAACGACCACACCCACCCCCACTATCCTGCCCAGGATGGGTGCCATGGGCCCCCCATCCCTAGCTTGAGGGTCACCATTGGTCCCTTTTCCAATAGGCCTCTTTCAGCCAGGAGAAATGGCCTATGACATCTTCCGAGACCACACCACGGACCCATCCCTGGAGGAGATGACAGAGGCGGCCCTGCGAGTGCTGAGCAGAAACCCTCGGGGCTTCTTCCTCTTCGTGGAGGGTGAGTGTCATCTCCTTGCGGATCAGAGGGGGAAGGGGCGGCACTCAGGGTGGGTCTGGCATCACTCACCTTCCACATGACCTTCTTGCAGGAGGCCGCATTGACCATGGACATCATGCAAACATAGCTTATCGGGCGCTGACTGAGACAATCATGTTTGACAATGCCATCGCCAAGGCTAGCCAGCTCACCAGTGAAGCAGACACACTGACCCTCGTCACCGCCGACCACTCTCATGTCTTCACTTTCGGTGGCTACCCACTTCGTGGGACCTCCATTTTCGGTAATCCCATGGACAGTGGCAGGTCCTTGCCCGTAGATTACCTGGCACAAAGTGTTCTGAACCAGTTCCTTTATCTGCCAAGTGGAGTAATAATAGCAACTGCCTCACCTCACTCTGGTAAGGATTAAACCAGTGAACAAACCAGAGGTGCCTCGGCCTAGCACACAGGAGGCGCCTCAAAAGCTGGGGTCAGCGTGACCACGGGGTCCCCTCCTCCCTGCAGGGCTGGCCGACGGCAAGGCCAGTGACCGCAAGTCTTACACCTCCCTCCTCTATGGCAACGGCCCGGGGTACCGGCTGAACATGGGCTCACGAGCTGACGTGAATGAAAAGCAGAGCGGTGAGTGCAGTGGGTGGGCCCTGGGGAGCAAGGAAGGGGGGCATGGGAGGAGGAAGACCCTACTACGGAACTCCTGGGAGGGGGAGGCCGCCTCCTGCCTTCCCTGAATCCTCTCCCTCCTCTCAGTGGATCCCGAGTACCAGCAGCAAGCCGCCGTGCCCCTAGGGAGCGAGACCCACGCTGGTGAGGACGTGGCAGTGTTTGCACGAGGCCCGTGGGCACACCTGATGCACGGCGTGCAGGAGCAGACCTTCGTGGCGCATGTCATGGCCTTTGCTGCCTGCGTGGAGCCCTACACCACCGACTGCCACCCTCAGCGGCCCAGCGGTCCCTCAGACACTGCCCACCAGGCTGCCTGCCCATCCTCACTGGCACTGCTTGCTGGGGCCCTGCTGCTGCTGCTGGTGCCCACCTTGCACTGACCCCCACCAACCCGGGCCTCAGGGCCTCCTCCCCACCCCCAACCTTAGTGGGCCCAAACCACCCTGGAAGCTGAGATCCTGACTTTCTGTGAGAGCCACAGTCCTCGGTGCCCCAGACCTCGGTGGCCTCGGCTATTTTGAGGAGCTGCCCCATATTCGAGGATATTCCAGGCAGGGCCTCAGACCACGCAGTCTCTTCTCCCCACCCAATAGCCCTGGCTGAGGACCAGGCTGCTGGCACCAGAGGTGTCCCCCACAGCAGACCAGGACCTACCAGACCCCCACTGGGGGCTTCCAGGAGGTGTGGTTTCTGGTTGCCTGACTTCCGGGAGGCGTAGCTCCCAGGGAGCTGTGGCTTCCCATCCTCCTGGAACCCAACCTGTGGGCACCTCGCCAGCCAAAGAGATGTCTGGGGCCAGGCGTGCCGGGTGGCCCTCAACACAAAGTCTTCAGCGGCCCCTCCTAGGAAGCAAGCGGTACCATTACAGAGAGGAGACAGCGACAGAGGAGAGACTTGTCCCAGGTCCCTCAGCTGCTGTGAGGGTGGCCCCAGTGCCCCTTCCAGGCTGGGGGATCCCAGGAGCAGCAGGGGAGCTGGGGGGTGGGGACACAGGCCCCCTGCTCCTGGGAGGGAGGAAGCAGACCTCAAATAAACTGTTCTAAGTGTGATACAGGAGTGATGTGTGTGGGAAGAGAAGCCCTGGGAGAGGGCGCAGAGTGTGTGTCTGTGTGAGAGGGGTCAGGGTCACATCAGGAGGTCAGGGAGGGGCCGATGAAGGGCTGACACTGAGCAAAGACCAAAGGCGGTGAAGGCGGGAGCGTCCCACACAGACAGTGGTGCAAAAGCCCCTCAGAGGGCGTGGGAAGGGCCAGGTGAGGCCAGCATCCGACTGAGTTGGGGGAGCGGGAGGGTAAAGGTCAAAGCTGAGGGAATGGGAGGCTGGGGGAGGAGCTGAAACTTCATCCAGAGTGTGGGAGGGGAGTGGAAGGCTGTGAGCACGGACATAACAGGACTGGATGACTCTAGAAAATATCATGCTGGCTACTGAGAAGGGCGTGACAGAGGATGAGATGGTTGGATGGAATCACCAAATCCCGGGACATGAGTTTGAGGAAGCTCGGGGAGGTAGTGAAGGACAGGGAAGCTGTATTTTTGTTTGAAGGCTGATGGATGGGGTGGGCATGGGGCAGAGGTGGGAGCCGGGGAACCAGAGAGGAAGTACAAGTGAAAGTGGAAGTTTCACATTTCTTCCTTTCTTTTGACTGTGTTGGGTCTTTGTTGCTGCTAGTGGCCTCTCTCTGGTGGTGAGTGGGGGTTACCGTCTTAGCTGAGATGTGAGGGCTTCTCGTGGCGGCTTCTCTTGTTGCAGAGCACAGGCTCTAGGGTGGGTGGGCTTCAGTAACTGCAGTTTGTGGGCCCAGTTGTATCACAGTCTGTGGGATCTTCCCAGACCATAGATTCAATCCCTGTCCCCTGCACTGGCAGTCGGATCCTTAACCACTGGACCACAAGGGAAGTCCCTAATATTTCTGAGCTCTAAAAACATTCCAGGGCAACCACTCCAAAAAAACTACACTGATTGCGTATGTAACTCATCCTAAAGGGAGTATTTCAAAGAATTTAAAAGGGTGAAAACAGCCATATTTTCCAATAAATTTTACACAGTTACAAATTTCTTTGTACATTTCCAAAGTTGCAAGAAAGCATTTTGCCTTCACTAGAAAAGTTAATATGACTGAGTATGCTTCCTTATTTACTGAACTTTTGATTTAGCAGTATAAAACATCGATTTGAAGGCCAGGCTCTCAGGGCTATTTACTGAAACTCTGGGTTGTTGTTTAGTCACTCAGTCATGTCTGACTCTTTGTGACCCCATGGACTGTAGCCTACCAGGCTCCTCTGTCCATGGGATTCTCCAGGCAAGAATACTGGAGCTGGTTGCCCTTTCCTTCTCCATTATGTTTCATAAATGCGTTCAAAACCCAAGGGAACTCTGCATTTTAAAACCACAGGTTTTAAAAGCAAATTATTCTGGAATTCATGGTGAGCTCTGCACAATTTTGAATATCCCAACACCACTGAACTGTACACTTGAAAAGGGTGAATTTTGTGGTATATAAATTATACCTAAACGTTAAAAAGTTTCTGTTTCCAAGTTTTTTCTAAATATATAAGCATGAGGGATTTTATTAGCCAAACACCATGTTGACCACAGGATCATGAACAAGTTCTCAAGTATCAGTTTGTTAAAAGTCTTGACCTTGAAGAGGCAGATGCAGGGGAATTATGCTTACTTTTCCAAATTTTATTGGGTGCTCAAGATGGATAGCGCTTGTTACTTCAAGAACTCTCAGCACATGGATCTTTAAGAAAGAAAGGGAGTCAGGAAGAAAGAGGGCAGGAGTACTCATGCCAGCCCCCTTCAATACCTTGCTAACATGGCTCATAATGTGGGGCTGATCTGGAACATTCTCAAGGTCACCCCCAATCTCATTACCAAGTATCTATCACAAAGCTTCTCCTTTACTCGGACAATCTTGGTTTTGAAAGTTAACACCACCAATTGCTTCCCTCATAGCTCAGTTGGTAGAGAATACACCTGCAATGCAGGAGACCCCAGTTCCATTCCTGGGTCAGGAAGATCCGCTGAAGCAGGGATATGCTACCCACTCCAGTATTCTTGGGCTTCCCTGGTAGCTTAGATGGTAAAGAATCTGTCTGCGATGCAGCAGACCTGGGTTCGATCCCTCGGTTGGGAAGATCCCTTGAAGAAGGGTAAGGCTACGCACTCCAGTATTCTGGCCTGGAGAATTCCATGGATTGTATAGTCCATGGGGCCACAAAGAGTCGGACACAACTGAGCAACTTTCACTTTCACCACTGATGGCTCCTACAGCATTTTATGTGCTCTTAAGGTTTCTGGATCTTCCCTGCAATGGTTGACCATGGATGGACCAATGAGTGAGCTGTGCAGGTTCTGCTACCTCTGCAGCTTTTTATCATCCAGAATCCTTTAACATCACGTCCTATGGAGTAGCCGTTCCATCAGTGGGTGCACTTACAGTGTTCGCTCCAAATGACAGTTTTTGTTAAACAGACAATGAACTGTTGAAATCATATATTCCCTGCTATATCTTACCTCTAGTGGCTCACTCACACAAAAAAAGAAAAATCTGGTCTGCGTCTTTCATTATTGGAGCAGAATCCAGCAAATACCTTAAGCTGAGATGTGTAGAAACATCTGCGCTTTCAGCCAACTGTTCCTCCCACAGGGTAATTTGCTCTGGCACTTTTTTTTTTTTTCAGTCTACAGCAGTGTTTTTTCTACATCTTCCAACAGTAATCATTGCTGAAGAAATGCCTTTTGGTTTTTGGAAAAACCATTTTCTGTTCACTGTTTCTGCCATTTTTACTGCAGCAGAAAGAATAAATATTTGCCTGGTGTTAGGTGCTTTTTGTCTTATGCTATTATGTAAGAAACTTTAAAAGAGCCTTCCAAATATTCATCAATGCATAAATCAAAAATACTAGTGGAACAGCACCTCACTTTAAACATCACTGGAAAAGAACTCTGTCTTCATGTTGGGATAGTTTAGTTTTTGAATGTCTTTCTAAACAGGAGGGTTTCTTGCTGTTATTGAGAATACCTCAAATTGTGCAGAGCAAACTTCCCCCAAGCAGCAAGCTCAGAGAGGTACTGGGTTTGGGAGGGGCTCACAAACACCAGAGGAAGGGCACAGGCCTAGGTACAAAGGCTGGAAACCACCCGGAGTCCCCAGCAGCGAGTGCGCCTGGGGCCTGGCCTCTCTGCGCCACGCGGAGTTGGAGGAGGGAGAAGGCTCCCAGCGGCCACCAGCCACTGTAGACACCGTCCGTCCATCACCGTCCCCTGCCCCCACACACGTGCCCGCTGCAGGCTGGGGAGACCCCTGTAATAGAGCGCCGGGCACCAGGCCTGGCACATACTAGGCCGTCAATGAAAGGCTGTTTTCTCTGCGTTTCCTGTCCCGGACCTGCTACAGACAAGGCCAGATTGGGGGAGAGGGGAAGCAGAGGCCGGGAAAAGGAGGTGTGGTCAGTGCGGCGTCTATGCGGCCCCTGAAGCCGCCTTCTGGTTTCTGCACTGGAACCAGACGCTCAAGAAAGAGACTCGAGAACCAAACTTTGTCCTCGCGGCTGTCCGCAGAGCCATCCCCGGCCCCGTCCTCTCTATTCAATGGTCAGAACCCTCACCAGTCCCTTCCCTAAGCCCCCTAGCCGGCGCGCGATCCCACCCAGGATCAGGGAGAAAGCCCCGACGGCCCTAAAGGACCAGAAACCGGTTCCGTCCCGCCTCCTCGCCCCAAGCCCCTCCCGGCTTCAACAGGTTCTCCCCGGAACCCAAACTTGGACTAAGTTTTATCCCCGACACAGAGCGATCTGGCCCGGTGCGCCCCGAGCCCTGGGTGCACAGCCTCCCGCCCGCGCCGGGCAGTTCGCTGAGACCGAGCACCGAGCCCGCGAGTCGCCGCCGGAGCTGGAGCCGGAGCCGGAGCCGCAGCCGCAGCCGGAGCCACGAGGACGCAGACAAAGCCTGGAGGCTCGGCGCGGCGGCGGAGGTGGCTGACGGTGGCCGCGGCGGCGGCGGGCTCGGGTGTCACTTACCCCGCAGGTGCGCGCTCGGGCGGCGCGTAAACAGCTCAAATGGAGCCCGAGCCGGAGCCGGAGCCAAGGCGGAGCGGGGCGGCGACGAGGGACGCCCACCGTCCTCCGCTGCTCAGCGCACTGCCTCCTTCCTGCCTGCATCCCGGCTACCTGTCAGCTTGGTGGCAGCTCGAGGAGGGGGGTGCGGAACACACTCCCCAGGGTCTGGCATCGATTCTGGGCTCGAAGATTGCAGATTCGGCCGCGTCCGGAAAGGAATGAGACATCTGGTACCCCAGGTTAG